GAGGAGGAGGAGGAGGAGGACGAGGAGGAGGCGGAGGAGGAGGAGGACGAGCTCGCCCTGAAAAATCACCCCGTCCACCCCCCTGGCCCCCGCGCCCGGAATTGTCAGCCCCCCGTCTGCCGCCTGCCCTGCCCCGCCGCTATTGCGGGGGCGAGGAGGCCCGCGAAACATTTTTTTAATCGTCCGCCCCAGAAGTTTTTTGTTGTTGTTGTTTTTTTTGTTGTTTTGTTATTTGTTTTGTTTTCTTTTTCCTTTAAAATCGTCCCCCCCCGTTAGAGGGCGGTGCCGCTCTCCAGCCTGGAGGGGGGTGCCAAGGCTCAGCGCGCTGCTCCAACGCCGTCCTCTTGGTGGTGCCAGGTGCCGGGTGCGCTGGCTCCTGCCCCGACGCCTCCGCTCTCCGCGACAGGCGCGAGGGCTGGGGCTACGGCGGCAGTGTTCAGCGAGAGGCCAATCAGTGCGGGCGCCGAGATGCTGGCCGCGCGTGCTGAGGATGGCGCTTGAGCTGTGGCGGCCTGGAAGGGCTGCGGGCCTGCTAGGACTTCTTCGTCATGGGCGAGGACGTGCTGGGCTGTGCGCGAGGCCCCGGGCAGCCTGGTCCATGCGCAAGTTGCGGCTCGGACAGTTGGCCGCAGCCTGCGATAATGGCGGCGCCGAGCGCCAGGAGTCAGCGCCGTCTGCCAACCAGGTCGAGGTCAGCAGGCATTCGGGCGAACAGACCGCCCAGGGAGTCAACCTGTGGTGAGCTGCCTGCGTACTTTGTGCAGTCTGAGGCCTTGCTCTCTGCGGGTTCGGCCCCCGCGCGTGATGTCGTCTGGAACGTGGCCGTAGAGCAGCTGTGTGCGCGCCGCCTGGTCGGCGCGGCGGGCGACGATGAGGCTTTCATCAGTGCGAGCTACGCCAGCTGGGTCGCCAGGGCCGAGGATGTGCTTTTGGATGCTAGCAGGGTGCCTGCCGATGAACATGGCCGATCTCGTGGTCGCGCGGCTGGCTGCGATTTCCGCTGGCCCCTGCTTGAGCCATCCCCTGGTCGCGCGCATCTGCGACACCGGGCGGCAGAGCACTGGGCGGTGGCTTTGGCAGCGCTGAAGCAGATCGCGCGCATCCGTCGGAGGAGCTCGAGCATCAAGGGCCAGCTGGAGCGATGTCTGGATGTGCTGTTGCGCGAGGCGGCCAACGTAATGGTGGGCGCGGGCCCAGTTCCTTCGCTCGGCTGGGCCCGAGGTTCTTCCAGCCTGGGATCTCATGATCAATGGCGCCCTTGAGACCCTTTGCCGAGGAGCTGGGCGCCATGGTCAGCGTGGCGGGGCGCTTTGCCACCGCTGCGCAGGCGCGCGCCGTGGGCCAGTGTCGCCGTGAGTTCGCATGATGGGCGCGCAAGATGTGGAAGGAGCAGCCTGGCGCCCTTTACAGACGTGCGCGTGACCCCGCGCCCCTTGGTGCACGAGCTGCTGGCGCGCGGTCTCCCGGGGCGGTGCCCGGCCATGTCTTGCGCCGTGTTGCCGCGCGCTGGGGTGCCTTGTGGCGAGCTCCCTCGGATTCCTGGCCTGTCCTCATGGCGGCCCGCCGGGCAACCGAGCGTCGGGCCGGGCAGTCCCCGCTGCAGCCCCTCGGGCGCAGCGGCATTGACCTGGCCGCGCGGGCCCAGGGCTCCAGGGATGCGAGGGGCGTCGACGGCCGCGGCTCGGAAGACTTGGAGAGGTTGCCGCCCGAGGGTCGCGAGGGGCTGCGGTCGCTGCTGACGTTGCTGCCGGCCGCGTCGGCTGATGGGCGTCATCGGTGGCGTCCTCCCCAAGAAGGCTGGCGGCGAGCGCGTCGTCGGTCTCCTCCCGCTGGTGCCCGTCATCTGGTCCCGCGCGCGCTCTGCGGTCACCTCGGCGGGCATCGAGCTGGGGGTGGCGGCCGCTGCCCTGCTGCTGGACGTGGGGGCCTTCTGCGACGTGGTGCCCTTGGTCAAGCGGATGGCCATCGGGGGGCGGCTGCAGTGCCCCGCTATGGCGATGGCCTTGGAGGTTCAGCTGTTCCCGGCTCCGCGCTATCTGAAGGATGGCCGCCGCGGGTGCCCAGAGCAGGTGGAGGCGGCCCGTTCTGTCGTGGCGGGGTCGGCGCATGGGGGTCCCCTCGGCAAGCTGCATCTCCGCTCGCCGCTGCAGCGGGCGCGCGTGATGCGCCCGAGAGCTGGCCTGTGGAACTTCATCGATGACGCGGCCATCCGCTGCGAGGGGTCGGCCAGCGCCCCTGAGCAGGAGCTCTCCCGCATGGCCAAGGCGCTCAAAGATGGCATGGGCGAGCAGGAGCTCATCTGCTCGGTGATCAAGACGGTGCTCGCGGCGTCCCACAGCGTGTTGGCAGCCCACCTGTCGGACAGTCTCGCGGCCGTGGGCATCCCGCGCTCGGCGGCCGACAGGGCGGTGGACTCGGGCATCGACGCTGCCTCGGGGCGTCGCAGGGTGCGCGCCAGGGCGTCGGCTCGCATCGCTGCTGGAGCCCGACGATGGAGGCGCATCGCGAAGCTGCGACGGCCCACCGCCAGAACGACGGAGTTCCGCGGGTTGCGGGCCGCGGGCGCGCTGCCGCAGTCGGTCTACGGTCACCAGGTCAACGACGCGCGCGCCTCCTGGACTGGTGCGGCAGCTGCGACGACGGGCTGGTCATGCGGTGGGCGGTGCTGCCCGCGGACGTTGCCCTGCGTCCGTGCTGGCTTCCGCGGTGGGGTTGCGCGACCCCTTCATCGCCCTGCATGTGCAGCTGGTGGCGTCGTGGTGCAGTCCCTGGTTCCCCGACGCGTCGCTGCATGGTCGCTTCAGGCGCGCTTGGCCGATGGTCCTCAGGGCTCTAGGCGCGCTGGCAAATGGCGCTGGAGGCGGGTTCGAGGACTGGGCTCGCTGCAGGCTACGGCCGTTGGACATGGGCTGGGGCCCCGCGCGCGGCCTCTGTCTGGGCGCTCCCGGCGGCCGAGGGCGTGGGCGAGAGGAGGCTGGCGGGCGCCGACGACGACAGTTTCCACGCCTGCGCCGGTTTCAGCGGGGTGCTCGGGGCGTCGAGGACCTCGGGCGCCAGCTCTGGCAGCCTGCGGCGTCGCATCTGCGTGGGGGCGACCTCGTCGACGGCGCGGGCTCCCTGCGCGTCGGCCGCGAGCGAACTCAGGGAGCTGGAGCGCGAGTCCCGTCATGCTGAGTGGGGCCTCGCCCTCGCTGTCGTCTCTGACGGCCAGTGGACGAGATCCCGTCGTGCTGCTGTTGGCTACGTGTTGGAGCAGGAGGGCTGCGCGCGGTGCGGCTGTGCGGTCGAGGCTCTGGTGCGCAGGATCTGGCAGTGTCCTGCGAACGTTGGCGAGGTCTTCGGGTCCACGGCTGCCCCGGTGCTTCGGGCGCTCGCTGGGCATGGGGCGTCGCCCGCGATGTGGTTGCGAGGGGTGCCCGCCTCCTGCTTGATCGCCCCCGTCTTCTGTGACCAGAGGGCGGGGCAGGCCGCAGTGTCTTTCGGCGTGGGCGGCGCCCTGGAGGCGACGAGGCGCGAGGGCGGCTTCGTGGTGGTCAGCGGTGATGGCTCGGGCGGGGAGAGCCCCGGCGACCCGGGGCGCATGCGTTGTGCGAACAGCATCGTGGTCGTGGGCCAGGACGAGGAGGGGCTGTGGACCGAGTTGCGTTGGTTCCGCGCTGTGCCTGTTCCTGGCGGACGGCCGACGGTGCCGCGTGCTGAGATCCTCGGGTACGTGCTGGCGCTGGAGTCCGTCGGAGGGAACCTGAGGTGCGTGACTGACCACGAGCCCCTCTGGCGGTGCTGGGAGAGGCGGATGGCGGCCGTCCAGCCCGGCGGCGCCAACGAGGACCTTTGGCAGCGCGCGCGTCTGGCGCGGCGCCGCAGGTCCCCTGGCATGATCGAGGTTGGCTGGGTGCCCGCGCGCACGGGCGAGAGGGACCACCCGCGACCGCTCAGGGCGGAGTCGGACCTCGATCGGGCGCTGGGCAACGCTGCTGCTGATGCGTTCGCGAGCGCGACGACGGCGGCCTGCTGGCGGCTGGGGCTCGCGGGGGCTGAGCCGCGCACCGACGTCGTCGGCGCTGGGGCCCGCGTGCTCTGGTGGCGTGCCTGCAGGGCCCTTGAGTTCGCAGCTGAGGCGGACCAGCTGCGTGGAATTCGTTGTTTGGGGCCACGTCGGCCCATCCGCTCTGCTGCCGCCGTGGTGTGCGCCTCCTCGTCGCACGAGCTGCAGCAGTGTGTGTCTGAACGATGGGTCTGCACTCGTTGTCTGTGCGTGGTGTCGGCCAGAGCCAGCTGTCCTGTTTCGCTCCCAGCCGAAGAAGAGGGGCCTCGGTGCGCCCGTGCCCGTGGCCGCCAGTGAGCTGCAGAAAGGAGGGAGAAGAACCCTGGACCTCCGCCTCTCTCACGTCTTGCAAGCAGTCCTCAGTCATTGCATCACCTACTGTGCACGGTGCGGATTCTATACCTCGATCGCGAATGACGGCGATGCTCGCTTCCTTCTGCGTCCGTGTCGGGGTGGGAATCGTGGTGGCACTGAGGATCTCAGTCGAAGTCGGAGGGTATTGTATCCCCGTCGGGAGGTCCGCCTCGAGGCACCCTCCGTGTCCAGGCTCCTCGCAGCTGCCGCACACGGCGAGCAGGCGACGGAAACCGCTGCGGAAGCTCTCGAAACCGAGCCCGAGCCTGCACCAGTCCCCAGGAGGGCCGCGCAGCCAGGGCGGGGGAAGCGAGGGCCACGCTGGGGCCTCCGTGTCTGCGTAGTGTTCGTTTCTCCCATCTGGGGTGCGTGGTCGAATTGGGCTTCTGGTTAAACTAAACGTTCCTGACTTTTCCTCCTCCTCTTCCTCTTCCTCCTCCTCCTCCTTTTCCTGCTGCTGCTGCTGCTCCTCCTCCTCCCTTCCTTTCCCCTCCTCCTCCTCCTCCTCCTCCTCCTTCTCCTCCTCCTCCTCCTCCTCCTCCTCCTCCTCCTCCGCCTCCGCCTCCGCCTCCTCCTCCTGCTGCTCCTTCTCCTCCTTCTCCTCTTCCTCCTCCTCCTCCTCCTCTTCCTCCTCCGCCTTCCTCTTGGGTGAGGGGGGCCCGGGCCAGATCCGAGGAGGTGGCCCGTCCAGATTTGGTTCGGGCTCTGCCCCGCCGAGGACGGGTCTGGCTCGGAGCATTCCCTTTCCCAGATCTCCAGCGTCGTGTCCTTTTCGTTGCGAAGCTCCTCGCGGGTCTGGACCATTTCCCACGGACCCGTTTCTCATCCTGAGTGTCGTTTTCTTACCATCCCGGGGTCCGGCGAGGGCCTCCAGATGCCGAAACCTGCAAGAAACTTGCCCTGGCGATGTTGTCGCGAGGCGAGCAGGTGTGGGTTCCCCACGAGCGGCCAGGCTGATCCTGCCTTGGCCCTCGCGCTCCCCCCCCCGGCCCCCCCTCGAGGCGGGGGCTCACCAGGTCATGGAGGCGCTGCTCGTCTTGGCGGCGGTGTACCGGGCGGCCCGGAGGCTCTTCCCGATGGACATCACGCCGCAGGCGGTGGAAAGCACGGTGACCGTCCGCATCGATGCGTTGAAGGTCTCGGCGCGATCGGATACCTAGAGGTTGACACCAACACCAATATCGGCTGCGTGCTTCCACCCAGGGATGATGATCCCGATCTCGGTGATGATGGTAATCTTTGGGCTTGCTTGGTGGCCGAAAGGTCACCACAAGCGCCAACATCCAGGATCATCTTCCCCCAGTGGAGGCAACCCCTATGCCTCCACGTGTTGGTGTTGGTGCCCGTTCTCTGGCCTCCAAGACCTCCTCGCGCCGCAAAGAACTCGCGACGGGAGGTTTTCGGCACTTCTCGGCCTCCGGGTTCCCTCGCCGGGCCCCGGGACCGTCAAAACAAAATGGTTCGGGAGGAGAAGCTTTTATTGGGGAGGGGGTCGAGACCTCCGAGGATCGCGTGTGGGAGCATTCTGGACATCTGATCTTGGGGAATCAGCACGGAAAGAATGTGGGCGAAGACTGACAGCAGCTCCTGTCCGTTTTGAGCAGAGATCGCTGTCAGTGTCGCCGCGGATGGAGTGCTCACTTGAGGCAAAAGGGCGCCTGCCCAACAGCGGCCGCTGCCAGACTCGGAAAACATGTGCTGATGGGCAGTGTGCTCATTTTTTCCCGTACCCATACTGGGCGTGCCAAAAGGTCTTCACCCCGGAGGAGATCTTGTCCAATGAGCCCTGGCACCTACGCGCGGTCTCGAACACTCTTATCGAGGCAGTGCGCGGTCCGATTGACGACACGGTATCCGTCAGATCCACCGCCACTGAGACAACAGCAGTCGCCAGCAGCCATAGCTTCCCCAGGAAGCGTCGGCCGTCCACTGGGTCCCCGATGAGATGCGCCCCACTTAGTCTTGAGACGTTGCGAAATTTGGAGAATTGCGCCATCTAATTAGGTGGCTGAGTCAATGCACTCATCAACGTGACGATGTACCGTCAAGCCCTCGGCAGGCGTGTCGAGATTGACAGCGTGCTTTGAGGGAAGGGTGTGTAGGTGGTTGGCCGATCATCGTCTGCCTCCATCTGCTCCTCCTCTTCGGCTGCTTGGCATGCCTTGTGCCTCATTCAAGTGGCTTGCGCCATTCCGCCGACCCCCAGAGGACAATCGGAGTCCATGGGTGAGGCCTTTTGCCTCTTGGTAACCGTTTGAGAGGCCTATTGGGGCATCTTTTGGGCCTTTTGGGGGCCTCTTGGAGCCTCTTGGGGGTCTATTGGTCATCTCTCCCCTTCATCTCTCCCCTCCATCTCTTCCTAGTCATCAGCTTTCTGGAATGCCTCGTGCCGCATTTGCCACCGTGGTTTGGCTAAGAGGAGACTTCTCGTGCTCTTACTCCACGTGCTCGGAACGCTTTTGCGCTCGGGTGCTGCCGCTCCGCTGACGGGAACGTACTTTCACTCGGATGGCAACTACGGTCAGAAGCTCTGGCTTGGCGTGTCGCTCCGCCGGTTCTGGCCCACTAGATTCTATAGGCTTACGCCACATCCGCCGAGTTCGGTCCGGGGTCGTCCCGGGCGAGGGGGGGGGGTCAAATTCCCGGTTTGGGGTCCCTGGGGGGGGATTATGGGGGGGCAACAATCTCTCACGCCTGGAGACCCACAAGGGTCGGCGGATTTTGGCGCGACACGCCTTTTTCGGTAGCAGATCATGGGAGCCTTGCGTGCCCTCGCAATTCTGTCTCCAGAGTGCGCTGGCGTCGATTAGCGTCGGGTGGTCGATGAGATAGTGCCGATTTACGGTCGATTTAGCGTCGATGAGCGTCGATTAGTGTCGACTTAGCGCCGATTAGCGTCGATTTATCGTCGATGAGCGTCGAAGAGCGTAGATTCACAAGAGCCAAGACGGTATGGGAGGCTCCCATGATTTGCCGCAGAACGCTATCCACATTCCGATTTCCAAGGGCCAACGTCCCGAGTTTTTCCCAACCTCCCGCCCCGCGCAGCGGATCAACATGCAATCCGGGGGGTAGGAGGAGGAGGAGGAGGAGGAGGACGAGGAGGAGGAGGAGGAGCAGGAGGAGGAGGAGGAGGAGCAGTAGGAGGAGGACGAGAGGGGAGGGAGGAGCAGCCAGCAGGAGGAGGAGGAGGAGGAGGAGGAGGACGAGGAGGAGGAGGAGGAGCAGGAGGAGGAGGAGGAGGAGGAGGAGGAAGAGGAGGAGGAGGAGGAGGAGGAGGAGCAGAAGGAGGAGGAGTGGGGGGGGAGGAGGAGGAAGGGTGGAGGAGGCGAATGAGGGAGAAGGAGGGGGGGAAGGATGAGGAGGAGGGTCAGGAGGATGATGAGGAGGATGAAGAGTGGGGGAGCAGCGAGAGGAATGCGGATGATGATGATGATGATGATGATGATGATGATGATGATGATGATGATGATGATGATGATGATGATGATGATGATGATGATGATGACGATGGTGATGGTGATGTGATGGTGATGGTGATGG